TAACTTATAATACCTTTGGCGACGCTTTTCGTCGCATTTCCAGATCCTTCTTTGAAACCCTGTAAGCTATAAGCTGAATGAAAACCTTTGTCAGTAGGCGAACCAGAGAAAGACTGTGAACTCGAAGTGGATGACAAAGTAAACGTCAAAGCATTATACATAGTGCTTCCAAGGTTAGCTAAGATGTTTATCAACTTAGAACCAAACAGGAGATTAATCTTTCTAAACAGGATACTACACACAAGCTGAATAACAAAGCTACCGAACACTTAAATATAGGTCAATGCTAAGAATTGCGTCGGGTTATAATACCTTCGGTGACGCTTTTCGTTCCGTATCGACAAAGCGCTATCTCAAAACTCCCGTTTTTCGACAAGTTGCCCTAGCGACGAATCGCCCTATGACGAATCGCCCTGTGCGACGAACGGCCCTGCTAGGAGTTGCCCTATTACGAATTGTCTTTCGACGAACGGCCCGTACCCCGGTGTCGACAGCCTTTGTGCGACCGTCCGCGATATCGGCACGGAAGAGCTCCGCAACTGCTACCCACTGCTGATCACTCGTTTCAATCTCACTCGCCGAGGTCGTCCGAGAGAAGGTTTACAGAGCCTTCCAGCCTGATGCTCCCGTCACCGTAGTAGTACCGGAGGAACTCGCACAAAGCTACGCCGGAATGGGCCAACGACCATCACCAGCGCAGCGTTCGTACATGGGAGCCCCCCGACGTGAACGTCTAGCGCCACAGTATCCCAGACGCAAGGAAGATCAAGCCTGCCAGCTGACACGGGGATCCCGCTCGCCGTCCCCTCGACGTCAAGCGTCGATCCCTCGTCGTTCTCGTCGTTAGAGCCTGTCGTCCTTCTCTCGCTGGGAAAACTAATCGCGGCAACCCCTGGAGGTGGAGTTGCCGTAGACCGACGGCGTAAAAATACTCCAATAATACCGAAGAACTCCTACTCGACCGACGCTAGGCATCGGATCGACGCTGCGGCAACAATGCCCCAAGCCTTAACGTGAGCATCGACGACCACAACGCGTCGGCACTCAGGGACACCGGAATAGACTATTCCGTTTTGGGTGAAACGCATTCACGACGTCTTCAAAAAGTAACAACGCCGTTGGATGGCCCGCAAATACGAACCGCCGAAGGTCATCTAATGGGGAGTGCAAGTTCGTCCGCTTCTGTTTGCAGGGGTTGTGGTGACGTCGGAACGCCGAGCTCTGATGGGCTCTGATTGAAGGATAGTGGGTAGACCTGAAGGCAGCTTGCTTTGAGCTCTACCCACTATCCTTCAATCAGAGTCAATCGGAACTCGGCGTCGTTCTTACGTCACTGCAACTCCTACGAACGAAGAAGACGACTTGCTCTCCGCATAACGCCTACTGGAGTGAGCACTGCAGAAGTTGAGAACCATGGTGAGACCTGCCCCGTGAAGTTTGTTATTCTGCAAGACTGTGCATGCCTTACATTGTGGTTGACCACTGTCAAAGCCTGGCGGAAGAGAGTTCTGTGGTACCGCGCCATTCTACTTCGTGTGCTCGTAGCATGCCGACGGCCACACCCTTTTTTTTCTTAGAGTGTAGGATCCTGAGCTCCGTCGGAGCCTTTTCAACGGCCGTGTCATGCCGCTATTCTGCTTTTGATGTGCCACAGTACTACGAGATTCTCCTGCCACCCGCTGACCTTATGTACTGCCGCCTTAAATTAGCTTTTTTACACTTTGATGTCTTTGAACGGATCTATAGGCTAGACGACATTCGGAATGAGGTTGCGCGAATCGCCATGCTCAAGACCATCGTGGCATTGGTCGCATTTTACATGAATCCCGTTTGGATGCTAACGCTGCGATCCTCAGTTGCGAGACAGAAGATAGTAAAGGAAAGCAAGCTCAAAAATTAAAAATAAAAAACCTGCCTCGTCTTAGACCCGGACACCAGCGACGTTACCCTCAAGTTCTACTGGGTGCCGTTTCACGTGCTCAAAGATTTCGTAAGAAGGGCAATCGAGCAGTTCGGCAAGGTCTTAGACGTCGCGCAAGAAAATAATCCCTCAATATATATATATATATATATTTTTTTTTCTTTTTTTTTTTGAGGGCATAGAAACGAAGACGACGCTCGTTCGGATGACCTTGAAAGTCGGCGTGAACAAGGAGCGCCTCCCTCGTTATCTGAGAATGCCTGGAGCGAACGCGCTCGTGCAGGTGCCCGGTCGAGCCCTGCTCTGCCTCAGCTGCAAAAGGATATCCGCAAAGACTGCGTAATCCTCGCTGCTATGATTAATACAATCTATATGGTCACAAAGCCGCGGACTTTGTGCGCACGTACGCCACAGCTAGCAACGTCGAGGAACCGGAGGAAGTTAACGACCACATCATGAAAGCTGACGAGGCAGAGGCAACCTACGGCACCGCCAGCGACCCCACCCACCCACGTGACCCCCTGGCCTAGGCGGCATACGTCCTTCATAAAGGAGGGGGGAGGGGGGGGGGGGGGGTATAATGCCGCCTGTGGAGCCGAGTCGGTGTAGCCAACTCTTGCAATAAGTAAAAAAAAAAAAAATGTCTGCGTAGGCATGTCGGCAGCGTGTTTGGCTCCCACACAGGTTGCCTAGGTTCGATCCCTGTCATACCCTGTTCTTTTTATCTTTCCCCAAGTTAATAGAAAATTCTAGAATGGTTCCACAAAATGCAGGTCGTTACTGCGCACAATGTATAGTTCCAGTACAATAAAGGTCGAATATTCTAGGTTGCTAGGAAAGCTTTAAAAGCTGTGCCCCGCCGTGCAGAGTCAGTCTAGCTCCAGCGCTCGATCCCGCTACTACGCCGGTATGGACGGCTAAAACGCCGACTTTTCTTCTTTATTTTTTTATGTCCTGCCACAAGTTCGCCACAATAAACGTTTAGTTTCTGTCTCTCAATTCATCGCCTCATCAATTGTCATTCGGGAAAATGTTTTTTGGTACTAAATAGAACGTTGAATAGATTTGATTCAGTAATAAAGTTAGCCTCCGCCGACTAACCTTGTCAACACCAAGTGCAAATAAGCCTCAATGTTTTCTTCACTTCCACGCAAACTCGGGCCGAGGGGGGGGGGGGGGGGGGAGGGGGGAGAGAGAAACCTGAGGTTATTGGTTTAAGGTTGTTAAATCCCAAGGACCAATCTAATCGTTTTATATGGTGACGTTCTTGTATTTCCTCAGTAGCCCAAGTTGGTTGTCTGTTTAATAAAGCAAAGGTTGAGTTCTCAATAACATAGTGGAATGACTGCATGGCCTAATAACTCCCCTTCAAAAATGCTACTCCTCAAAAAGCAAGATTTTCTTTAAGGTAAACTGCAGATATGTACGCGTCGTTCTGTGAATTTTAGCTCAATGATCCCTTTTGTGGCGCTCATCTCTTCGCCATATCACGATGCACTATTTTGTATCCTTGTTTGCGTGTACATTCATTCACTCTTATTTTACGGATTTGTTTTGGGATAAAACTCCCCATACGACGAGATGAACATTGAAAGCACATCTTTCACAGAAACATCACTTGAATGTGCTATAATGAGTTCATTAAAAACAATTGTTTGGCGGAAACAGCACCGAAAAAAAGTAGGACAAGGGCCCTTAATATGGACACTTGGCGAAAAAGTCGGCGAGAAATCGCGCGGCTATAATTGGCTGGAACCAAGGTCAATTGTGGCGTTGGCCAATCAGGGCCGTCGGATTTCTCACCACCTTTTCGCTAAGCGTACAGATTAGAGCCCCAGGAAGAGGAAACACACAGATAGTGCGCTGACTTACAACTGAAAGTTTTTTGCTGTTCATGAACCAAAATAAACACAAAAAGTAAGGGGGAGAGAGCGGGGGGGGGGGGGGGGGGGGAGAGGGCAAAGAGAGTAAAGAAAAAAACGCGACTGACTGGGAGAGATAGACGAAGCATATATCTTATGGCGACTCAGGGAGCGTACTCGTGCGTGATCGTTCCTTCTGAAGACCTTGTACACTCTAAAAAAAGTTTGTGCGTCTACTTTCACGCACAACTCTCGGAAAGCCAATCACCGCAACTTACGGAGGCAGCTCAGCGAATGGTGATGCCGAAACATATGTTTAGACCAAAAAACGCAGTCTGACTTGTGACGTTAAGCAATGCAAAACGTCACGCTTCCTCGTCCCCGTGTTCTGCGTTGTGTCCGTCAAGTGGGACGGCGGACTCCAACAAACAGGCTGTCTGTCGGTGTCGCCTGTCGCTCGTTGTCGTGTGTCGCGGTCGTTTGTTGCTGTGTGTCGCTCTAGCGGGACGCGGCTATTAAGCTCGTCTTTCTGTGAACATTTGGAGCTGAGCTACACGAGTTTATGTGGATACGTGCACGAGTACTAGAGCGACTTCAGCATGGACTGCAAAAAACAGCGAGAACGAACATCTGTTCTGCATCAAACACGACAAATCTGAAGTAGAGACATTTGAAATAATTCAGAAGACTTTTGGTGAACTATCAGAGAGTCCCGCGAGGTGTTTTGGGTGTCACTCGCGCTTCAACAACTGTAGATTAGCACTGGAAGACGAAGACACGTCAGAAAGGTCGCCTTACCAATCTGCGTCTTCCAGTGATGTTGTAATATTCTTGAAGCGAAAATAGACTATAAATGGAGTTCCGGGTTTTTAAGCTTTATTCTTATTCGGGTGCGTATTTCTTTTTCTTGGGGGGGGGGGGGGGGTATTTTTGTTTTGTGGAAATTTTGTGTTCTTGGTGTTCTTGGTCTTGGTGGAAGGCTGTATTACTGATAAAAATATAGCTGTACATGCCAAATTTCTAAGCTCATCTTTTTATTCCAGGACAGCTCCAATTTTGTCTCCGATTTTTGTCGTTTTTGATCAAACCACAACGCGTATTATTTTTTAGCGTTTATACGTATTTCTAGAACACACGAAACTACAAGAAAGTACACGCGGTGACCAAGCTAACGATGATATGTAAAATTAGAATAACGGAGTAAAATTCAAGCTTACCAGCCTTATTCCGAAGCTTGGAAAGGTTTCGATGAGCCACGAACATGAAGCACTATTCGGGTATATGTTGGGATAATTTGGACTAGAAATTTCGCCACGAGGAGCAGTGATGTTGTAAACGCACGAATCTATAAGAAACAACAACATTCAACTTACTATTTTTCAGAGGCACCTTTAACAATAAGAACAGGTTTGCAACTTGAATTTCACTAAACTGTCAACCACCGTATACAAACACATCTCGTCAATGTGGAGGACTATTGAACCGGCGTGCGTTCGTGTAATGCACACTGCGTAAAGAGTTGTTCAAACGGGAAACAGCAGATTCTATGCACGGCATTTGATGTAACGGAAGTGAAGGTGTTTCCCCAAACCCAATCAACCTTATATATATATATATATATATATTGGTGGTTTTATCTCAACTCTGGCACGGATTTCGAGTCGAATTTTTAGTTTTGACGAATAAAATATATGTTTTGTGGAAATTACTTCGGTGACAGGGAGTGCAAACCGCAAGTTCGGGCGATCTTTCGTTCTCGAGGTATGGACATTTTAAAGAGCCGAGGTGCAAACTGACCTTTATCTCGCCTGTCGGAGGTGTCATGTTTCATTCCTTTCTACTTTTTGCCCTTTTTCGGTAGTGCAGTGCAACTTTTTAGGCCACTCTCAAAATAGATATTAATTATGGTGAATAATTTTATTGTGATTATTTATCGTGACTTTTGCTTTAAATATTCTCAAAGTATGTCCCTTTAATAATATTTGTCAACGTTTGACCAGCTCTTTCGTGTGATCTATTTGAGATATCTTAACATATTTAGTATTTTCAGAAAACGAAGAGTATACTCTTTCTATTGGTAACAAATTTGACGTTGCGTGTAAAAGGGGAAGGGCAGTGTATTCTTGTAAAGCAAGGACTGTTTCAAAATAGTGGCAAATTGGAGGTCCATTTTCAAAAAAAAACAAAAAAAAAACCTTTTGTTGGGCATTTTGTTTTTAGCCCGAGACTGAGGCAGGAAAAGAGGAAAGTTTCAAAGTAGAAGAAAAATGAGCAGTCGAGGACACGTCTCCAACACATCTAAAGACAAGTCCATTTGGTCACCCTCTTATATACACTCCACGAACTTCACCACAGAACCATCTCGACCTCCAAAGCCAAAAGATAACAAAGGTCTCATCTCTTTCCACCACAATCGTCAAACGACCTTGACGTTTTCCACAAAGCAACACACCCTAGCTCCCCTCTCCCGGAAGATAATTGACTGAACCTTCGGTTACATAGCACAGCCTCCCCCTCTAATCTCCGGCCCACAATCCTAAAGCATCCCGGCAACAAAAGATACCAATCCACCTGATCCCCACCCTACGACACAAAGGAGGAAACCCCTTCCACCCTTTCACATTCAACAATCCCTTTACAAAACTCTCAAATCCGCAAGAATGTTTTTGCACTGCTGCTAAGCTGTAACGACACCTGACTAATGCAGTTACCCTTGAATTTCATTCTTATTGTTTCTTTTACAACCCTTTTGATGTCGTTTAACTCCCTGTGTATTATCTCTGTTTCGGACCAGCGTGGTATACAATTATTACATTCTGGTCCGAAACATAGATAATACACAGGGAGTTAAACGACATCAAGGGTTGTAAAAGAAACAATAACAATGAAACCCATGGGTAATTGCAATAGTCAGGTGTCGTTACAGCTTAGCAGCAGTGCAAAAACATTCTTGCGGATTTGACAGTTATGTAAAGTGGTTGTTGAATGTGAAGGGGTGTAAGTGGTTTCCTCCGTTGTGTCGTAGGGTGAGGATCTGGTGGATTGGTATCTTTTGTGGCCGGGATGCTTTGGGATTTTGGGCCGGAGAGTAGAGGGGAGGCTCTGCTATGTACGTGAAGGTTCAGTCAATTATCTTCCGGGTGAGGCGGGTTGGGGTGTGTTGCTTTGTGGAAAACGTCAGGGTCGTTTGACGATTGTTTTGGAAAGAGATGAGACCTTTGTTATCTTTTGGCTTGGAGGTCAAGAAGGTTCTGCGGTGAACTTCGTGGAGTGTATATAAGAGGGTGACCAATTAAACTTGTCTTTAGCTCTGTTAGAGACCTGTCGTAGACTGTTCATTTTTCTTATACTTTGAAACTTTCCCCTTTTCCTGCCTCAGTCTCGGGCTAAGAACAAAATGGTTAACATCCACCAGCTCGCCTGGGCAATCACTACGTTACCTTTTATTGGGCAGATTTTTTTCCCTAGCTAGCTGTTGCAGTGCTTTATAACGTAATATAAATAGAAAATGTAATATGTTTGTGCGGCATCCATAAGAGCTTGAATTCTGATTTTGTTTGACTGTTTTGTCAGTAAATCAACTTGCTCGCAAAAATGCACTAATTCAAAATTGGCGTCTCTTATTTTTTGAATAGATACCTGTGAACACACTCATTCTCTGAGAAATATTTTATTGCGATTATCTATATATATTTTACAAAATTTGTTAATATGACGTTTTTGAACGATAAATGTGAAAGTTTACCACCTCTTCCGTGCGACCTATACGAGGTGTCTCAGCTTATTTATTATTTTCAGAAAGGTTAGAGTATACTCCTTTTAATTATAACAAATTTGATGTGTATAAAAGAAAAAGGGCAGTTTTTTCGTAAAGCAAGGACTATTTCAAGAATATTGAGAATCGGAGCTAGATTTTTTACAAAGCTTGCCTTTTCTTTTGGCTAATTGTTTTTTATAGCTACCTATTGCAGTGCTTTATAAATTAAAACAAACAGAAAAAAGTTATATTTCTTTTGTATGGCGGCTATAGGAGCTTACATTTTAGTTTTTGTTCATTTGTCGCCCAGTAATACAAGTAGCACAAAAATACACTAACTCGTAATTAACGCATCTGAAAGTTTTAGTAACTACCTGTAAATTTCTTTATTAAAAGGAGATGCAAACGGCGAGTTATACTAATGATGTGTATAAGTCATAATATGTTTAATGTTATGATTTTTTTGTTTTGTTTTTTAATTGTCAAACCGCCTCTCTGGAACAATATTTGACAAAGTTCAGCAAGCTGCGCTGTGCGACCTAATCAATATGTTTTATTTTCTTCAAATCACCTTAAAGATCCATTAAGCTCTTTTTTAAAATATAATTTGCATGTTTCGCGCTAAACATATAACGCGGAACATTTGCCTGAAAAAAACTAAAATTTGTAAAGACTTGCAAGTTTGAAGTCGATTTTCTAAAAACAACCACTTTTCATTTCTTTAATTTTTTATTTACAGTTAGTCTTTCAGGCACTACCAGCAGAAATTATAATATATTGTTTGTATGACCGCTATTAGGACTCGAATCTCGTGCTATGAAAGTTTTGAACCGGACTTCGCAAAGTTGCTCAGCTGAGCAGAACTACGTGACGTTTTGTATTTAATGTTAGTACTTACCTCAATATCTGAGCGTAAAAGCCAGTTAAGCAAGAATATTTCTTTACTTGGCACTGGCGCGATTTGCAAGGTATGTGAGCTTGGTTTGTATGTATTGACGGAAAATGTACGTAATATCTAGACTCCTGGACAAACGTAAGTCAAGAGGAACATGTCTAAGTAGTCCCGGCATGAATCACTGAAAATAGAAATCAAAGCTAAACACCTGACTAACACATTTGAAGGCTTACACGCTACGAAATGCTCGTTATTATACGAAAGAGTCCGTACTAGCACAAAATAAATCGTACTTCCTAAGCGTCACTTACAAAATCACACATGTGTATATGCACTGCATATCTCTCACATAAGAAAATATGACAATTGCATATCAAGTTCGGTCTTTCAAACTCAAAGCCGAAAGCAAAAGGCCTCAGAGGAATTCTCTAACGATCTGCATTCACCCGTATTGAGAGGAAGTAATCGATGTGCCCACACTTGTGGATATAGACTTCTAAGTAGCTTTTTTTAAGTACACTACTCCAATTTTGAATAATATTTACGGCTGGATAATCAGGTAACTGCTAACGATAAGTACAAAACCTTACATAGGCCAAAATTCTGCTCAGCAGAGCGTCTGTGCGAAGTCCCGTTCAAAACGCTCATAATACGAGATTCGAGTCTTAATAGCGGCCATACAAACAATATATTACGATTTCTGTTGGTAGTTCCCGACAGACCACTATATTACCTAACTGTGAATAAAAAGAATAAAAAATAGAAGGTGGATTTTTTTGGAAAATCGACTCCAAACTTGCCAGTTCTTGAAATATTCGTTTTTCAGGCACATGTAGCGCATTATATTTTTATTTCACAATATCGAAAATATACTCGAAAGAAAGAGCTTAATTGGAGCTTTACGGTGATTTGAAGATAATAAAATATATTGATTAGGTCATACAGCACAGCTTGCTGAACTTCGTCAAATATCGTCGCAGAGATGCGGTTTGACAAATTAAAAAAAACACAAAAAACCTTAAGAATTTTATGACCTAAACGCTTAATCAGCATAAAAAAACGCACATGTCGAGAGTGTTCCCAAAAAGTTATATTGAAGTAGCGTAAAAAGTGGGGAAAAGGAATGGAGTGAAACGTGGCACCCCCGATAAGCTGGGAAAACGTCACTTTCCACCTTGGCCGCTTCAACGGTCCATAACTTGAGAACTAAAAACCCGACAAACTTCCCGCTTGCGTCTTCGTTTATTATAAAATTTGCCCGAGAACTTGTGTTAAAAAAATATTTAGAAATTCGATTCAAAACCTGTGCCTGAGTTGAGAGGAAATCACCACATATATATATATATATATGTGTGTGTGTGTGTTTGTGTGTGTGTGTGTGTGTGTGTGTGTATATACAAGGGTGTTTCAGAGAACGCAGGGCAAATCGCTCCTGCAAAAGCTACTCATCTCAACGAAAAAGGGCTTATGGCGTTTTAATGCTGGGCCAGGAGCCCATTAAGAATATGATTAAAGTCCGGGATAATTTCGTTGTTAATTATTTTTGCGTAATTAACTTTTTTAATATTGTGTTTAAGGGCATGGTTTATATTATAAAATTGCTCAGCATCGTCGAAAAACACTAAATCAACAAATTGCAGAACGATAGAAGGCACGCGAAGCATTTTACGGCTTTCTGAAAAACCGCACAAAA